GGGAGCATCGGGTAACCGGGGGGTGCTCTCCACACCCCCCATTTACCCAATGTCCCCCGGGGGACATCGGGTTTTCGACCTTGCAAGGAGGGGGGGGTGTTGGGCACGAGTTGCCCGGTGGCGAGGGAGGGGCATCGATCGGGTAACTCGACCATGCACGGGGGGGTGTCGGGCATGAGTTGCCCGGTGTCCCCCGGGAGACATCGGGTAAGCGGGGGGGGTGCGCTCCACGCCCCCCACTCATCCGGTGTCCCCCGAAGTCGGCATGATTCGGTGTCCCGCGCGAAACATTGGAGTTACCCGGTGGTTCCCGGGGGACATCGGGTAATTCGACCCTGCAGGGGGGGGTCTGGATATGAGTTACCCTGTGGTCCCCCGTGGGACATCGGAGTCGTGGGACATCGGCCCGTGGGACATCGGAGTTACCCGGTGTCCCCCGTGGGACATCGGAGTTGCCCGGTGGTCCTCGTGGGACACCGGCCCGTGGGACATCGGAGTTGCCCGGTGTCCCCTGGGGGACATCGGGCAACTCGACCCTGCAGGCCCCAGGGGGGTCTGGGCATGAGTTACCCAGTGTCCCCCGTGGGACATCGGAGATACCCGGTGTCCCCCGTGGGACATCGGAGTTGCCCGGTGGTCCCCGTGGGACATCAGCCTGTGGGACATCGGAGATACCCGGTGTTCCCCGTGGGACATCGGAGTTACCCTGTGGTCCCCGTGGGACATCGGCCCGTGGGACATCGGAGTTACCTGGTGGTCCCTGTGGGACATCGGAGTTACCCGGTGGTCACCGTGGGACATCGGCCCGTGGGACATCGGAGTTACCCGGTGGTCCCCGTGGGACATCGGAGTTACCCGGTGGTCCCCGTGGGACATCGGCCCGTGGGACATCGGAGTTACCGGGTGGTCCCCGGGGACATCGGGTTTTCGACCTTGCAGGGGGGGTCTGGGCATGAGTTACCCGGTGGTCCCGGTAGGACATCGGAGTTACCCGGTGCCCCCCGTGGGGCATCACGACGACGACGACGACGACGACGACGACGACGACGACGACGACGACGACGACGCCTACGACGACGACGGCAACTTTCCCATGTGTTTTTTCCGTGCGCCCCCGCCCCCTGATGAGTCAAAAGCCCATTGGAATTTCAACATTGTCGCGTTGGAGCCCTTGCCTCGGCGCGTTGGCGGTGAATGCGCGCGACAAGCGCTTTCGGTCGCAATGTGCAAAACCTTGCCCGTTCAGGGGGGCCGCACGGGAAAAACATGGAATTTGACGACGACGACGACGAAGGACGAAGGACGAAGGACGAAGGACGAAGGACGACGACGACGACGACGACGACGACGACGACGACGACGACGACGACGACGACGACGACGACGACGACGACGACGACGACGACGACGACGACGACGACGACGACGACGACGACGACGACGAGAAGACGACCTTTTGGAGCCGTCTCGGGGCCGTCTCTGGGCCCTCTTGGAATCGTTTGGGTGACCGATCTCGGGGCTTTATTGGGATCGTATTGGGGCCCCCTTGGAGCCGTCTTTGGGCCCTCCTGGGCTTTTCCCAGGGCCTTCTGGCGGACCCCAAGAAGGCCCCGAGAGGACTCCAAGAGGGGCCCAGTAATTATGTACCAACCAAGGTCCCGCTGGTGCATAATTCCTGGGCTTCTCTTGGGACCATCTTGGGCCCCTCCTGGAGCCGTCTTGGGGCCCTTTGGGGGCCCTCTCGGGTGCTTCTCAGGGCCCTCGAGGACCCCCTGGGCCCCCAGAGGGCCCCAAGACGGCTCCATGAGGGGCTCAAGATGGCCCTAAGAGGGGCCCAGTAGTTATGTGCCAACCGAGGGCCCGCTGGTACATAATTCCTGGGCTTCTCTTGGGGCCATCGTGGGCCCCTCCTGGAGCCGTATTGGGGCCCTCTGGGTGCCCTCTCGGGTGCTTCTTAGGGCCCTCGAGGGCCCCTCTGGGCCCCCAGAGGGCCCCAAGACGGCTCCACGAGGGGCCCAAGATGGTCCCAAGAGGGACCCAAGAGTTATGTACCAACTGGGGGCCCGCTGGTACATAACTCCTGGGTTTCTCTTGGGGCCATCTTGGGCCACTCCTGAAGCCTTCTCGGGGCTCTCTGGCAGCTCGCTCGGGGGCTTCTCAGGGTCCAGAAGGAGGAAGAGGACGAAGGGGGGCAGGAGGAGCTGCAGGAGGAGGAGGAGGAGGAGGAGGAGGAGGAGGAGGAGGAGGAGGAGGAGGAGGAGGAGGAGGAGGAGGAGGAGGAGGAGGAGGAGGAGAGAGGAGGAGAGGGAGGAGGAGGAGGAGGAGGAGGAGGCAGAGGATGAGGGGAGGGAGGAGGAGGAGGAGGCGGACGAGGAGGAGGAAGAGGAGGAGGAGGAGGAGGAGGAGGAAGAGGACGATGCCATCAATTTTATGCACAAGAACCGCCACCATCCAGAGGTCCAGAGGAAGAGGAGGAGAAGGAGGGAGGAACCCCCAGACTCCGGTTTTTCAGATATTAAAAAAACGACCCGTCCTCCATCCGTGAAGCGCTTCCGTTTTTTTAAGACGGATCTGCGCGGCGCCATGGCGAGAGCTACGTTTTGAAAACGACCCGCCCTCCATCCGTGAAGCTGTCGCAAATTTCAATCTTCAGGATCACAGATGGTGAGGAAGCTTCAGGCGAAACGCCCAGCCCGCCCTTTCGACCAGCCTCGGTGTGCGGCACGGAGGAGCTATTGATAAGGAGAAGGAATTGTTGAGGAGGAGGTGGAGGAGAAGGAGGAGGAGAAGGAGGAGGAGGAGCAGGGGGATCGACGCAAAGAAGAAGAGGAGGAGGAGGAGGAGGAGGAGGAGGAGGAGGAGGAGGACGAGGACGAGGAGGAGGAGGAGGAGGAAGTGGAGCAGGAGGATCGGCGCGACGGAGATGAGGATGAGGATGAGGATGAGGAGGATGAGGATCGTCGCGAAGAGGAGGGGATCCGTGCGAAGAGGTACCTCCTCTTCGCGACCGGGAAGCTGACGGCCTTCGTCCTCGGCGTGTCGGTCGACCCGGCCTTCTTGCCGAGATTGCCCTCCTCCTTCCCGTTCTGTTCCCCCTCCTTGCTCCTCCTCTCTGCCCTCCTCTTTTTCCTGAGCTCCCTCCCCCTCCCCCACGCTTTCCCACCCCCCCGAATCCCTTGGCCCTCTTGCTCCTCTCCCTCTTGCTCTCCCCCTCTCTCTGCCGCTCACCCTTCAGCTCCCCCTCCCCCGCGTCCGCTCCCATCCCCCCTCCTCCCTTTCTGTGCTCAAGCATGAAAGAGTTTCCGGAGATGTTTGACAGTCTGTCTGATATCCCACATTTCTCCGTTGAAGATTGCTCCGAAAATGGCTTGGGAAGAGCCAAACAGCGCCCCAACCGGCCCCCAGGACGGCCACAATAAGGTTCCAAGATGGCCCAGGAAGGCCCTCCGCAGCCATGTAGGAACACTCCGACCAGAACGTGCTTCTCCCACCCCTTCCGCCTCGTCCCCCTCTTCCTCCTCCTCCTCCTTTTTCTCCTCGTCGTCCTACATCTCCTCCTCTTCCTCCTCCTCCTCCTCCTCCTCCTCCTCCCCCGCCTCCTGCCGCCTTCCCATGGCTTTCCAACAGAGCTCCCTCCCTCGTGTTTCCTCGTGCACCCGACCCTCCCCTCCCAACATCCGACCGCCTCAGACGTCCTCGCAATGTCGCGGAGATGCCAACTCCACGAATGGACAATTATGAAGGATACGAGCTTGCTGTCTGCCCCTTCCTTCGCCTCCTCGGTTCCACATGTCATCGACTGTGTCTTGGAATAAGCTCAGGGAAGGCACGCTTGCTTGTGGTTTGAAGTTTATCGAAGAAAGGAAAGTACGAAAGATATGAGCATGTTCCAGAATGCTCTCCCTGGAACGTGCTCATTCTACGGTTTTGTCGAACGTTTGCTCGCCCTCTGCTCCTCCTTCCTTGGCATGCCCTGCGCATCCTGCAGCTTAACCCGCAGGCAGCGCTCTGCACGTGGTGAGCGTCCGATGTGCACCGATTCTGCGCCACATGGACACCTGCGCATGGGTGTGGCCCAGGGCGCGAGCTAAGCGGTGGGTTGGCGATTTCGCGGGCCGTTTTCGTTTTGATTGCGTTTCGCAGTAATGGCAGAACGGAGACAGAACGAAGGAAAACGAAACCAAAACGAAAACGGAAACCACTGTTTAGCTCGAGCTCAGGTGTGGCCCGACGTCGCTGAGGGTGAGCGGGCTCGATGGCTGCACAGCGTAAGCGTGAACATAATCTAGGCGCGCGTGAAGCGCGCGAGCGTACCAGGACTGGCCCCCCGGCCGGGCGACATGGATGCTGCGGGTGCAATCGGGGGTTGCGAGAAGTGCCCCTCCTCAGGATCTCCAAGGAGCCCCCCCACGGCCTCCAGAGCACCCCTCACGCGGCCCAGAGGGCCCCATGGGCTCCAAAATGGAGCGAAAAGTGGGGGCACTTGGGGCCAGGGACATCTTGAGCAACACCCGAATCTGGGTCCCAGGAGCCTCCTGGAGCCTCTCGACGGCTTTTCGGGCGTCGACTTTGGCCACTACGGGGCCCCTCACAGCCCCAGGATTGCCCACGAGACTCCTCCTGTGGCTTCCAGGCGCCCTTCTTAGGCCTCAGGAGACCCGCAAAAGGCTCCATCTTGACGTTCGAAGAGAGGCCCTACTCAGCCCAAACCTACCAAAGCTTCGCCCCCCCCCCCCCCGAATTTGTATTGTGTATTGCGGAGGTCTTACGGCCGGCGCCGCCGACCCTGAAGGGGGACGACGCAGACGACGGCGGCGGTGGCGGCGACGACGACGATGCTGACGACGCTGGCGTGGGTCAGAGTCCGCAGGGGTGCTTCTTGGGGTCTCTTCGGGGCAGTGTCTTAGGCATCTATGGGGCATTTGGGGTCTCTGGGGCATTTTGGGGGCCTCTTGGGAGCATCTTGGGGGCTTCTGGGGGGCCTCTGGGGGGCCTCTTGGGGCTTCTTCCTGGGGGGCTCGAAATGTCCGTTCGTGTCCCCCGTCTGGGCGCTCCTCTGGAGCCGTCCTGGGGGCCTCTTGGGCCGTCTTGGAAGCCGCTTGGGCCGTCCTGGGGCACTCTTGGGTCGCTTTGGGGTCGCCATGGATACCTCTTAGGAGCCTCTTGGGTCGTCTTGGAGCGTGGGGAAGTCGAAAAGGTGGGAACGCCCAAATGCGTCAAAAACCTAACGACAGTGATTGAATTCTGCCTGTTGGGCCGTCTTGGGAGTGCTCTTGGAGGTTTGTTCGAGCGTCTAAGATGCTTGGGCCGTCTGGAGGCCATCTTTAGCGTCTTGGAGCGATCGTTCGGCGATTCGGGGCTCTCTTGGACCTTTTTGGGGGCCTCTTCGAGCACTCATGGGCCGTCTTGGGGCCTGTGTGGGCCCTGGGCCCCCCCGGCGGGAAGGCACTTCTCCCGGGACCCCCGCGGGGACCCCCCCCTTTCCCCTGCGGGGCAGGGATCAAAGGGAAGGGGCTTGCCTTCGACTCAAGTACGACGTTACTCAATTTCGCTTTGGCTGGCGCGCTTGAGGAGGACGGCCCAGGAATTGTGAGGGGGAGCGGCGACGGGCCCAGGGAACGAGGAGGGGTGGGGGAGCGGCGACGGCGGCGGCGACGACGACGACGACGACGACCACGACGACGACGACCGCGACGACGACGACCACGACGACGACGATGACGACGGGAACAGTGTCTCGGACACGCTGGCAGGGCTGGCGGATTGGCTCCCTCGGAGAGGGTGCCCGCCGCAGGTGCGCGGCCCCGGTGACACGCTGGAGCCCGTGCTGATCAGCGGCGCGTTCCTTGGCGGCATGACAGGCGGCGCACGTCCAGACTCAGTGTTCAGTCGGGCGTGTCCCTCTACAGTAGGAACACTCAAAAATAGTACAAAAAATAGTCTGGTGACGATTTGTCGAGTATTTTTGGACATGTTTTCAAATTTGTCCTCCCAAATCCGCCTGTAGGCGGACATGTCCGACCTAAACTCAGTGGGGGGAGGGAGGGAGGGACGGTGGGTCCCAGCAGCCAGCAGTGGCGCCGCAATGGCGTGCACGGCAGCTGAGCGGACGGGGTAGCAAGCTCAGCAAGTGACGTCGGTGGGGCGGACTGTGACCGAGCTCGACGGGCCCCGGCCCCCCTCGAAGCTCGAACTCGGAGTATCGAGGCCTTCTGGGCTTCTTGGGGGCTTCTCGTCGCCACGGCCGGGTTCGCGATCGAGGAGAGCTCCAGGGTCATAGCAGCTTGCCTCAGGGTGAATGAGCAAACTCAGGAGGGGAAAAAACACAGACACAATTAATCGTCGATCCCCTAGAAAATATGGGAAAATATGGGAAGTGGGGGGGAAGACAAAAACCCAGAAAATATGGGGAAATGTGAGGAATATGTTTATGTGCGTGTGTGTATTTATTTGTGTGTCCTGGGGCCTCTTAACAAACAGCCTTGGCAGAACTCATCTGCGGACGGTTTCTTCTCCCGTGTCTGGCTGCAGCGTCCTTGGCATTCCGGAAACACGTCTTGCATTGCTACGGCGAGTGACCTTGATGATTTGGGCATTTCCCTGACACGAACACGACGACCAATCGGTTCTACTCGACCCGTCTTGCAACACGGATCACGGAGTCTATTTTCATGTGCGAGTTCAGTCGTTAGGAAGGAGTCGAGACCTCTGGCTGTCCACGTTAGGACAACGTTTGGGGGGGAGGGGCGAATCAGTGGAGTCAACCTAAGGGGGGCGAAGTTTGGGGGGGGCGATTGGTTCGAGGTTCGAGGTTGTCGGACGTTCTCGTCGGTTCCTGGACGCTTTCCAGCCTCGGAATGCGCTCCAGCAGCTGCGCCTCGCCGAGGGCGTTCCAGGGTTCTAAAGTTGTCCCGAACGGATGCTGCAGCTGGAGATCCGAGCTATGACGAGCACGGATGAGGTGATGCCCATGTCAGCGCACGGGACACCTTCACGATCATTTTTACGTTTTTCCTTGTGTCGCTTTTCTTTCCACCTCTATCAGTTCCTCCCAATTTTGTTGTGTGCTTTATCTCTCTCCCTCTCTCGCTCCTTTGTCGCCTGTCTGTCTGTCTGTCTGTCTGTCGGTCTGCCTGTCTGCCTGTCTGTCTTTCTGTCTTTCTGTCTGTCTGTCCGTCCGTCTTTCTGTCTGTCCGTCCGTCTGTCTGTCTGTCTGTCTGTCTGTCTGTCTTTCTGTCTGTCTTGCAGGCTTCCACTCGTGCATGGCGCTCCTGTGTAGGAGGACGGCGATGTTGACAACGACCGACGCTCCGAGGCCCCTGCAGGTGTCCAGAGATGCCCCAGAGGCCTCCAGAGGCTTTTGGAGGCCAGGAAGCCGTCCGGTTCGCGGAGGGGAGCGCGGCGGCGGCGGCGGCGACGACCGTCGACGACCCAAGCAGACCTGGCCGCCCAGCGAGGCCGGATGCTGCACTGGGCTGGCGCCGGCCCGGACAACGCGCAGCGGGCAGCTCAGTGGCTCATTTGCCTTCTTCTCCTTCTCCTCCTCCTCTTCCTCCTCCTCTTCTTCATCCTCCCGTACTATCCTGGTCGGCGGGTCTCTTGGCGATTTGGGCGGAAACATCCGTTGCTTGTCGTTCTCGCGCCAGGGACGCATTGAGATGGGCGAGCGAGTACCCTTACCACACTCCCCCTTCCTCCTTCTTCTCTCAGGCGATCGCAAACATGGATCAAGGGGGCGTGGATTAGCGACGGGTCCCGTTTCCAAGGGAAATCGCGGATTGCCGCCGCCGAGCGAGGCGGCACCGGCCGCATTTTCGGGAGGGCACTTCCCCCGATCCATGGATTTGTCGACCGCGCGCCAAATCCATGGATCGCTAATCCATGTTTGCGCGCCCCCGGTTCTCCTTCTCCAGCTCATGCCGTCCGCGGTTCTGGCGGACCCAGCGGCCTACCGGCAGCAAGGTAGTCCTGGCTCTTTTCCATCCAGGGCCAGCCTCCTAGTGGAGCTAGCCAGGGAGTTTTGGCTTCGGCAGGAAGGCGGGTGGCGCCAGCGAGACACAACACGACGCGACACACCTGCCACTTCGCCATGGCATGCCCGAGCCAGTGCCTCATTTCCGGCTCGAAATCCACGCTCCAGCGCAAGCCAACAAATCCAGGAGAAAGTTGAGGAGGGAGGGAGGGAGGGATGGGGGGGAGGAAGGGAGGGAGGAGGGCGGAGGCAAACGGCGCCACGCGCCACCGCCTGAAGGAGGAGGGGGAGGATCCAGGCCTCCTGGATGAGTCGGAGCAGATGGGGCCCGAGGGTCGGGCCGCATCGCCGATGCACCGGCGATGCGGCGCGATGTGGAGCCCGCTTTGCTGAACCCTGGCGTATCGGCGATGCCTCGGGGATGCGGCGCGATCCTACGACCCCATCTATGCGGACCTGCTCGGGAAACCTCGTACAAGAGGGGGAGGAGGAGGATGGCCAGCAGAAGGAGCTGGGTGGCAGGGTGGCCCTGCGCCCCTCGCTGGGCGCTCCGGGCGGGGCTGCGCCGGCGTGGCCCGCCGCGTCTTGCCGCGCACCGCCGCGCGACCCGCCCGTCAGGGCTGGGCCTGCGTGGCCGCGAGCGGCGAGTCTGCGGCGTGCCGCTGCCGCGCGCATCCCGTGGGCTTGCGCAGTTGTTGACCGTGCGCGCAGCGGGGCGATCATGTGTGCTCGCTTCGTCCCTTTTCACCTCTCCCCCTTCCCCCCCGGAGGAAGATCGCGCTGGGAAACTGAATCCCCCCCCGCCTGAAACACCGCGCTGGAAGACGCAATCACGCAGCCCGTGGGCTGCTGTAGCTGCCAGGTCGTCGCGGAACGCGCCGTGCCCCCGCGTGGGCGCGAGCTGCCGCACAACGGCGGGCGTGTCCTCGCTGAGCCGCGCAGCGGTGCTCCACCAGCACGGCGGGCCATCGAGGAGGAGGAGGAGGAGGAGGAGGAGGAGGAGGAGGAGGAGGAGGAGGAGGAGGAGGAGGAGGAGGAGGAGGAGGAGGAGGAGGAGGAGGATGAGGAGGAGGAGGAGGAGGAGGAGGAGGAGGAGGAGGAGGAGGAGGAGCGGCGAGCTCGCTTCTGCCGCTCCGCGGCGGCGGCAGCAGCAGCAGCAGCAGCAGCAACCTTCCCGTCTCGCGGCCCCGAGCGCAGGGGCTTTCCGCGAGACCGCGCGGACCATCGTGTCGATCGGTATCGGCGCCGCGATGCCTGGCGCGTGGGCCACCAGGTCCACGCGGGCTTCGGGGCTCTGCGGTGAGGCGTGCGGCGGCAGGACCTCTTTCTGCATCCCGTGCAGCCCTGCTCCCTTTGCCACCGCTCACTTCGCCAGCACCGCGCAGCCAGCGTCGTGCATGCTCGCCCTTCGGGTCCAACGGCGCGCCACCGACGCTGTCGTCTGGGCGCCTGTGCGGACAGAGCCCCGTGCAGAACGGCAGGTTGAGGTCCAAGCTGGATCCTGCCGCGATTCGCCGTCGTGCGCGTCTGTGAGGCGGTGGCACGTCTGCGTGGGGGCCTGCAGGCAACCGCTCGCGCTGGTGTCTGGTGCCGAGTATTGGGCCGCAGTCGCGAGGGGGCGCTCGCCTGCCGCGAGGCCAGCGACCTGGCGAGCAGCCGCAGCATCTCGGGCTGTGGCCTGGGAGTGCTGCGTAGTTGCTAGGGCCTCGTCGCCTGCGTATGCGGCTTCTTCTTCTTCTTGTTCTTCTTCTTGTTCTTCATCATCATCATCTTCTTCTTCTTCTTCTTTTTCTTCTTCCTCCTCCTCCTCCTCCTCCTCATCCCCCCATCCTCCTCTTCCTTTTCATCCTCCTCCTTCTCCTTCTCCTCCTCATCCTTCTCGTCCTCCTAGTCTAGTCACCGTCGGCACTTCAGACCAGAGAACCGATAACGAAGGAAATGTGCCGGACATAACTTCACCAGACTCTTACCCTACTGCTCGCTCAGGTCAGGGAGGGAACGATGGACACCGAAATATGGCGTTAGGTCGCTTGTTTAATCGCTTCGCTCATTCCGCCGGCCCATTTTCGCGCACCGGGAGGCAGTGCATAGGAAGCTCTTGGGAGTTCTCCGAGGCTTTCGGGGACGTCTTAACCTGGAGCCTTTTTCGGGCTCTTGGGGGCCTCTTGGCGGCCTCCTGACCGCCTAGTGGGGGCCTCTTGGGGCCTCTTAGGGACCTCTGGGGACCTCCTGGGGGCTGCTTGTTGTCGAGGGCTCGAACTGTTGTTTCGTGTTCCCCCTCTGGGGCCTCTCTTGGGGCGTTCTTGGGGCGTTTTTGGGCCGTCTTGGAGTCGTCTTGGGCGGTCCTGTAGCCTTCTTGGGCCGTCTTGGGGCTCTCTTGGGGCCCTCTTGGACCCTCTTGGGGCGATCTTGGGGATCTCTTGGGCCGTCTTGAGGCGTCGGGAAGTCGAAAAGGGGGAAACGCTCAAATCTGTTCAAAACCAAAGGAACATCAATCAATTTTACCTCTTGCACCCCCTCTTGGGAGTGCCTTTGGAAGCCTCTTGGGGCGTCTGAGGGCAATCTTGGGCATCTTGAAGTGATCTTGTGGCATCTCGGAGCCCTCTTGTTCTATCTTGGGGGCCTCTTGGGGGCCTCTTGGCCCTTCTTGGGGCTTTCTGGAGGGCCTCGAGGGCGGCGCCCACCCGACCCGACCCGGCCGGGGATCTCTGACCCGAACCGGCTGGGGACTGCCCGGGGTACTTTTCGTCCGGGGACCCCCAGGGGCCGCTCTGCGCGCGTGAAGTAGAAATACGGTGCGCAGTTACCAGAGATCTTAGCACGCTTCTGGCCCGTTGGGCTGGCGAATTCTTATTTCTTCTCGCAACGACTATGACGGTTGCTTCCTACAACCTTTTGGCCGCCATTTCGAACGAGAGGCTCGAGGAGACCGGTCAGGAAATGCAAGGATGGGACGCGGTAGTGTATACATGTGCTGGACCAAAAACCACGCAGACGACGTGTTACCTGAGTTACCATTGTGGAATCTAGTAAGGAGGTAGGACTTGTAGATGGATTTCAAAAGCATGTGAAGTAACCTTCCTTGTGGCACGACACATCGACACTAGAGCCCCCAGGCACATTCGTATACCGCCAGGGACCATGCAGGGAAGGGTAGCAGGGGTTTGATCGGCGAGACAAATCTGAGCTTAGTCTATTTGCGACACATCACAGAGCAACTATCAGACATTACGGACACACATGCAGACACATACGGACAATTCTCACAACTACTGCTAGACTGGGTGGTGGGATCCGGTGGCAAGGTAACACTTGCATCGACGATCGAGGTGGGAGGAGACATCAATAGCCAAGTGGGACTCCACAGGGGAGGGGAAACATGGATCGAGAGAAGTAGGTAGGTCGAAAACCATAATGGCAAGGCTTTTCGTAGATTCTGTGCGCAGGTCGAGCTTGCGATCGCCACAACGCACTACGACGGTGAACTTATATGCTACCGTACGAAAGGAACGCCTACTTAGATTGACCATGTTGAAATGCCAGTAGCAGCTTACAGGCGGCGAAGAGATGTGCCACCCTCCGAGCTGCTGCGAGGAGGCTCCAGGTCATGAGAAGTAGTGGGCGCAGATGTCATATCCTTATGGGCATTGTGCTCGGCGTAGGACCGAAACATATATTCCACCCACCCAGAATAACAAGGAGACATGAGGGAGGGGCAGACGGAGAAACTTCAATGGAGGGCGTCGAGAGCGGGAAGATGCGCAGAAGTTCGAGGGAGGGATCCTGGAAGCGGGAAGCGAGGCTTGGGGTCAGCTCTTGTCAGAACCGACGCCCGATAGTGCGTGGCGAGAGTGGGGCGAAACAGCAGCATCAGCCATGCAGGAAATTGCCCCGAAGAGACCAGGCTGCCACGAAGCAACAGCCGCAGCCCTGAAAGGGGGACGTTTGAAATTGCTGGGGAGGAGGAGGAGGGTGATCAGAGAGAGCTGGTGGGCGCCCAGACTCAGCATGAATGCGACGGAGTTCGCGATGATCTTGCGGGGCCCTCAGCAGCCCTCGAGAAAATCCGAGAGCAGGCGGACAAGGCGAGAAGAGCGGAGCTGGTGGAAGCAATCTGGAAAGCCTATGAGGCGAACAACTGTGGCGAAATGTGCAGACTCACAGGGTGGGGTGCCAGATGAGCGGATGTGGGCCTAAGAAGAGGTGCGACTGCTCACCTCGGACTTGGTGTAAAGTGGACATGCTACGACTGGCAGGTAGAACTGGCGAAGCGCCTGCGTGCTGGAGGGGTGACAGCGGGAAGTATTGCCTTGGCTCAGTGAAGAATGCAGTTGCCAAAGGACGCAGACATCGCGGCTGCATTTGCCAAAGACAAAAAGGACATGCTCAAACACAACAAGGAGTCAGCCGAGAGGAGAGCACATCCACCGTGGAGGTTCCCAGTAGAAGTGCATGGGTGACCCTCGACCCGACGGCGCGCTCAGAGCACCCAAGGTCGCTGGGTAGACGCGGATCGAGGAGATGAGGA